TCGCCTGACTTTAATTACGACAAGAAGCACGTGATACTTTTATCAAGTAAACACAATTTCAACTTCAATCAACACAAAGAGCTTCTTCATGCTGGTCCCCAGCTGCTATTGGCAACCGTGCGTGAGAATTGGTGGCCGTTAGGGGATAGAAACCTAGCTAGAAAGGTTGTGCACCAATGTGTCCGCTGCACTCGAATGAAAGGTAAAACTCTAACGCCAATCATGGGCAACCTTCCATCTGAACGAATAGAACCTGGTTTCCCATTCATTCGATGTGGAGCGGATTATGCGGGTCCCATAAACGTACTGAATCGCAAAGAAAGGGGAGCTAAATTGGAAAAGGGTTATATTTGCATATTCGTTTGTTTTGTTACCCGGGCCATTCATCTAGAACTTGTCAGTACGTTAGCTGCTCAAGAATATATATTAGCACTTAAAAGATTTATCTCACGACGAGGTAAACCAACTCAAATTTTCTCAGACAACGGTAGAACTTTCATTGGAGCCATGAAAGAGATTAACAAAATGTTAGAGGAAAATTCAAAGCAAATAATCGATAAATTATCAACTGACAATATTGAATTTAAATTTATTCCCCCTTATGCTCCTCATTTTGGGAGATTGTGGGAAGCAGGAGTAAAATCCTGTAAGTTCCACCGTAAGCGTGTCGTGGGTACCGCTAACTTGACGTACGAGGAGTTCAGCACTGTGTTGGCACAGATCGAAGCAGTCTTAAACTCCCGTCCTGTAAGTCCTATGTCCTCAGATCCACATGATCTTCGTCCACTAAGCCCAGCTCATTTCCTCATCGGCCGGCCACCCACTGCACCAGCCTGCAGAGACCTCACCGAAGCACGGACTCACAGCTTGACACGGTTTCAAAGAGTGGAACAAATAAAACAGCACTTCTGGAAACGCTGGTCACAAGAGTATGTTGCTGAACTTCAGACAAGGACGAAGTGGAAGGCGAACAGTCAAGACTTAGCATTAAACACGCTTGTCGTTATTAAGGAGGAAAACTTACCACCTCTTAAATGGCGTATGGGCAGAGTTACCCATATTTTCCCCGGAAAGGACGGCGTGTCGCGTGTCGCCACCATCCAAACTGCTACGGGTCCTGTACAACGAGCGTTCTCGAAAATCTGCCCTCTGCCTGTATCATCAGCAGAGGACGACAACATGAATGTAGCCTGCGGCATCTCCAATCAAGCGGCAACGTAGATACATCATTGGAAGCTGGAGCTTCCAAGGCGGCCGGCATGTTGGCGCGACTACTAACGCCATCTACCGACGCACCGGAACACCACACTTTTATCTACGAATCAGAGCTTGTCATTGCCGGCGACCAATCACAGCACGTCGTGCAATTAGTTATAAGATCTGTCTGTTTTAAATTTTGATTATTAACTGATACACACTGTTAGAAATAAGACGATTTAAATATAACCAGCAAACGTTTAATAAATCAATCATTGAAGAGCACCTGCCTCCCGTTCCTGTACAGCATCACTAGTATGGTAACTTCGCCAAGTCAGTTTAATAGACAAAATAACATTTTGTCTATAACACTGACCATGTTAAAAACGAAATATTACATCTCGCTGCCATTATTATAAAGATATACATACCTACATGCAGTATTTTAAACAAAATCAACAAAAGTTTTTGGCACTGAACAAGGAGGTTAAATCGCCGGTAAATTCCACGTTAAAATAAAATGCAAAATTATTTTTCATGTAGCCATAACAAAAACAATACTGTCAATTAAATAAATTTTCATCAGAAAAAAAGGCGTATCTCGAAAAACGTTACGTTGTCCATATTATTCATTATTTTTTACCTGAACATTGCTGATGACAAAATTTGCGGTAATTTTATACTATCGCGGTCCCCTCGATTTTTCACTCTAGAAAATCGAAAAACCATCAGATTTCGATGATTTTTTTAAATCTTCATTATTACGGCCGATTCACGAAAATAATTATAAGAATAAAAAAAAAGAAAACTTATATTGTTTTCAAGGCTTTAAATGTTCATGAAAATGCACTCATTCACGTATAATTGTTGATAACTTTTTTCAAATAATCAAATGTTATATTTTTTTCATAATCTACACAAAAAAACGAACATTTAAAAAAAAGAAACATTGAAAATATTTGTTCATTAATTTTGGTTTGTATTGAGTGTAAGATCAAGCGATGCGAGCTCGGGACTTAAGAGGTTAGAGTAAGTCAGCTCAAATTCTAATTTCGCCCCCACTTCCCCGCGGGTCGTATGCTATGTACCGACATGTTTGTAATCACTAATACTGTAAGTAGAAAGGTCGTTAGACACTTATTTCATTAGGTTTATCATATTATGCCTGTTTCTTAAAGCCAAGCCAGCCACTTCTTATTTTTATCACGATTATTTCCCATTTTAATTTTACGTCGTACTGTTGCGTAATGTATATTCTGATCGTAAGCGACACAACTTCTCCTTTCAAAAGCCTAAGCGATACTAACCAGGGTGCGTAATCTTAATACAAAAAATAGAGAAATGAATAGCATACTAAAATTAGTAATTCAAACTCTCATGTTCAGAGGGCAATGGTAGTGCTGCAAATATTTTAAGTCTTCGCTAGATGGCGCTGTATAATTTTTATAGTAGATTTTGAATTGTTCTCCCATTGCATAGAACACAAACAAAGAAATGTCAACTTTATAATAAATTTAATATTAAGATTCATGATTTTTAATTATTGTAAAAATATAAATAAAATTATGACAGGTAAATCAAAAGTAAACGATATGAATGATAAATTTCAAATCAAAGCAAAAAAAATTTGTGAGCACTATAGAAAAAAATAAAATATTTTAAATTGAATGTTGTTTGTTTTATTTACGAAATTATTAAACCAAATCATAAAGGAAAAGTTGGAATAGTAATATATAGCAGCTACGTACATACATATTATAAACATACATATACAGTAGGTAGCTATTAGGTTATATAGTCGATGACATTAGTACCAACTTCAAAGTCTAGGGGCGCTAGTGATGCATTTCCAATTTTAGCCTTGAAGTTTGGTCTCTATTTCGTGTATATACAATGTACTCTGTGATACTAACGGAACGACAGGAATCAAGCTCAAGACGCCGATAGTTTAGGTAATTTCTTTTTACAGTGAAAATAATGGTATTTTAAAAAAAAGTAAATAACATAAGCACTGCTTTATAGTTAGTTCAGTTAGTATGCAAAGTTTCATGATCTTATTTAAAGTATTTTATGAATAACAGCGGTTTATTGTTTATTTTGGAGGTAACTTTGGATTTTTTTTTCTATCGAGAAAATTTTACGAAATAGTGTTTTCGTCTAACATAATCACTAACTATAATCCTCAACTTTACCATATATTTATTTCAAAATTAATGCTGCAATATTTTCGGCATAACGAAGGATCTTGCTAAGCCATTTGACATTATATTTCCCCTTAAGCAATCCCGACTCGGAAAAAAATTCAAAAATATCTGATTATCGACAGAGCCCCGCTTCGTGGGGCTCCTACTTCTGAGTGGTTTATAGAAAAATAACCACAAAGGAGATGGCGGGGTCTATTCGCTCGCTTCGCTCGCTCACTTGACCCCGCCATCTCCTTCTAACCTAACCTGTCCGAGTCGGGATGCCCTTAGTCCCGAGCTCGCTTTATTTGATCACTCAATAAAACACCAAAATATTAACCTTTTTAATTATTTCGATTTTCTAGAGCGTTTATAATAACATTTAAAGTCAGAAAACTATATGAAATCTAGAGGTGAGATATTTTCCATATTTTTGTCCATAAATCCGCCATAAAAACGAAGATTCAAAAAAAATCATCGAAAACGGATGATTTTTCGATTTTCTGGAGCCAAAAAACGAGGGGACCGCAATAGTATAAAATTACCAAATTTACTTCCATTGGTAAAGTTGCCAGACTTGACTCTAGCCTAATAAATAAAGTATATTGTTTTAAGATATCAAGTAAAAAGCCTATTCAAAAGGGAGTGAATAAGCCAGAGGATTATATAGCGGCTGTAACAAGGGTTTAATAAACTGAGCGGATGTAAAGTTAATCAAAACGATAAATACGAGTAAATCATATAGCACTGTTGTGAAATCTGCATAGACAAAAATGGTTAAAAAATTATACATAGTAATATAAATACATACAAAGTTAAAAAATTCGAATTTTACGACTAAGGTGTCAGTTTTGGGAGGTGACCAGGAATTTAAATAAAACTTTTCAGCCACATATTGTGGGATATAAATTATCTTCGAAGTATAATTTAAAAAAAATTATAGTTGATTATTTTATGTCAAATTCATTTAACATTTTGCGGAATCCATTGACTTATTATATTACTAACATAGTGGAATCAGGTTGGTATCAATGTTTCAAAATTGTCTCAACTAATCACCAAAAGTATCGCTATGATAAATCATAAATATAGGTAATAAGGTCAAGAATAAATAAGAATAATTAAATTTTTTATATTTATTTTTATATTTTATAATTACATATTTTTGTGTATTCATATATTTCAACAAGAAGTAAAGGCTATGTTAATCAGTGAACTTTTGATAAATTGTAGTGATGATGATGATAAAAATATTGCTAAAAATCTAAAGATTTTGTTAATAAGGAAATTCTTAAGGTACATATACTTACTACAAAACTTTTTGTAAATAATCAATATTTGTCAGTAATTTGAATACGAGGGCGGCACTGAAAATTTCGGGAATCAAGGAAGTGACATATTACTATTTAAATAATGTATTTATTGCTTTTCAAAGTATTCTCCGCGAAATTTGACACATTTTTCCATACGATGAAACCAATCATTGAAGCAACCATTCCATTCGGAAGTTGGGGTCTCCAAAATGGCCGTTTTGTAGGCGTACAGCTTCTTCAGGTGATGAAAATCTATGTCCACGCAATTTATTCTTTATTTTAGGGAAAGTATAGAAATCACTAGGGCTTAGGTCGGGGCGATGATGCGGCGGTTGCAGTTCTCTTTACGGAGTTCAGAAACGACCTGTGGCAAACAAATACTAGCATACCATTCTGCATTAACCGTTCTTTGTCCCTCAAGAGGAATAGTCGTAACATGGCCGGTTTTGGAGACAAACGTGGCCACCATTTTTTTTGCAACACTCCGTGAACGAACAATTTTTGTTGGCTTTAACTCATTTTCGAACACCCAAATTCGTGACTGATTTTTTGTTTCGGGTTCGTACGCGTATATCCAGCATTCGTCACCTGATACGATATTGTATACAGCATTTGAGGATCCTGCGTGGAATCTTTCGAGAGTTCTGACGCACCAAGTAACGCGAGCCGCTTTTTGCTCTTCACAGAGCGAATGCGGTATCCATCGGGAAAACAACTTTTTTACACCTAATTGTTCATGCAAGATTATTTGTATTTGACTCATGCCAATGTCTAAAGTTGCCTGAATTTCGCGGTATGTCACATGTCGATCTTCCTCAATCAGCTTACGCACAGCATCAACGTTTTCTTGGGTGACTGCAGTTTTTCGACGACCTTGACGGGGATCATCACGCTGAAATTCAGCAAACCAGCAATAAATTGTGGTTTTGGATGAGGCTTCATCACCAAATGCAGAAATCATCCGGTCAACGCACTGTTTTTGTGTTAAACCATTTCGAAAGTCATAATAAATCATCGCTCTCGAATTTTCTCGAGTCAATTCCATTTTCTCAACGACTAAAAAAAGTTTGACAATACCTTGTGACAAGACCGAGAATCTTTTTTTTAAAATAAATAAATAGTATTCGATTTTTAAAACCAAGGAGTTTTCAATTAAAAAGATTTTAATATGACAGGAACAGTGGAAATATTCCATTCCCGATACTTTTAGTGCAGCCTAGGTAATGAAAAATAGACACATTGCTCGGCAATAATAAAGAGTTATTCCAAACGTACGGTACATTTTTCAAAGCTTCAAATTAAAGTTTTGCTGCATTCAAATAACTCGGAAACAAAAAACCGTTGATAAAACAACGCAACAAAAACAGCATAAATAAAGACATAGCTGTTCCGTCGATTCCGAGTTGCCGAGACAGCCTGGCATTTTATTTTATCTGCATAAAACATTAATTGTATTGTCCTGACGTCGTCTCTCTGTTGTAAACAAGGTCACGACCAGTAAAGGTAGTGTTAGTCATCATTTTAGTCATTTTATTTGGTCTGCAACATCGCAAATATTTCTCAATTCAGCGTTGCCTGCCTAACAACATTAATTGAATTGCTATAAAATAGCTTGTTCTTATTGTTTATTGTTAACCCATAAAACCACAAAAAGACGATACCTTCGGGGTTTCTCTGCCGCTTCTTCTCCGATCAGGGAAACCTCAATTCGAAACGGTAGTAGATTGATAAGAAAAAAATATTATAGTTTTAACATCTTAAACAACTCGCATTTGATTGATTGAGCTTAGATAATCCCATTGACAACCCTATGTCATGAAATTATTGTATTGTCAACGATGCGCGCGGTGGCCTTGTTGGCATAAATCTGCAAAATTTCATATAATTCCGACGGCCGGAGATGTGCGAAAACTGAATTTCAAACTCCTATTACATATATACATGCAGATCAAGCTAAAAAAATATATTTTGAGCGATTGTGACCTAATGGAAGGGTGAGGACGGCAAATACAAAATACAAAAGGGGTTCAAATCTGCCATTCAACTGCTGTCGTGAACTATTCCCAACACAAGCATTTTAGCTTACCAGTAGTGGATAAAGGGAATATAAGTAATATTAATACACTACTAGTTTTTTTTTTAATTAAATTAACAATTTCCTTCAAAAAAGAAAAGGGCAGAACAACGTCTGCCTGGCAAGCTAGTTAATATGTATATTTGTTTAAATATATATGTATTTGTATGTATGTAAATATTTGTATATTATTTGTATATTATATGTATTATATTGGGTCCTCATATATGAAATTAGCGTTTTGTCGTACTGACCACGTTGATGTGAAATATCTCCTCTTTGGTTAAGAATTCCAAATTCAAATCTATAAATTCCACAACTACACCATAACCACATTGCACCCTATCTCAACCTCTTAGGGTATGAATTTTACAAAATCCTTTCTTAGTTGACTACGTAACAAAAGAAACCTAATACCCCAATTTAACATTTGTACGTCTAGCGGTTTGGGCTGTGCGTCGTAAAATTTTACACCCTCCTTTTAAAGGTAATTTTTAGAAAAAATAAAGAATATATCTATGTTTGATTATTTTTATTCAAGAGTATTTGCAGTAGTATGCAAAAAACGACCGCATCCCATCCCCGTCGGTCGACTTATAGTGCCATACACGGTGCGGAATGCAACCGTGATATCAGTGTGAGTGGCACCATATACCGGATCAGACAATGGTGCGAGGAACCAAGAGGGCATCAGCGGACACCTGATATCCGTCCGGGTGAGAGGTCAGAAGAAGATCCAACAGGGAAGGTGCATGTTCCTCCACATCTGGAATCCGCGTAAGCAAAGTAACCAGTTATGTTAGACCATATGCCGGGGCAAAGTCATAAACAGATCTCCCCGTATAATAGGTTATACGTGAACCGAGCCATTCAGAGTGGCAGGTAGCGTTGAGGTTAACTATGCTAGTAATATAGTTCGATGGTAGGTAGCCGTTAAAATCACAAAGGATCACGATCTCTGTGGATCGTATCTAACTACGTTAAAGTCCTGAAATTATTGTATCGTCATCGGTTCTTAAGAGGATTGTGAAGCTGTAATTTTTCATACAAAAAGCGATAACTATTTCCCACCAGTAAACATAGTCTAATTTTCATAATTTTTGTATGAGTTATTAGCATCTAAATATCTATATTTTTGACTTAAAAACTTCGTCGAGTGTTTTTATTTTTCTTAATTAAACTAAACTGATTTACTAAAAAAAACGTACAGACCTAAACTAAGGTGTACTGAATCTAATGATACCAAAATTCTCTCATTTCGTAAAGGTTTAAGGGGGTAAAATTGTTATCGCCCGAAACAATATTTCAATAAAAAATGTAGGCAATTGCTTCCAAGACTTGCAACTCTTTCTATCGTACGATACGGGTCGGGAGGCAGGGGCATACGCATACTGCTGTAGTTGTGGTTTGTTGTTATTAGATGTTGGAGATTTTATCGATATACATATATGTATAGATTTGACGGTTACGTGGCGCAGTAGCTCACCAATGAGTTATAGCGCTGAGGGTCGCGGGTTCGAATCCCGCACGGCACAAGTATTTATATGGCCTACAAGTAATTGGTCCGGGTCTGGATGTTTGTCCTTGTGCAATTTACGTATGTAAAAACTGCCTCGATACAGGAGAAAGTCCTAGTGTGGGGGTAACGTAAAAAAATAATAATTAAAAAAGATATTATTATAGCCTAATGAGAAGAAAGTAATACCGAAAACCTACATAAATAATACTTCTTATGAAAAAATAATATCTGTGAATAACTTCATTAGGTATTTAGTCTTTTTATTTTAGAGTATTTATTGAATAAGGACTGTAACTTAAAAAGATTTCGAGATTACACTTAATTAGGTAGGTGAATAAATAAAAAAGTAACAACTTGTGGAAATTATTTTTTTATTACTACATATTACTTTATTACACTCTTTCTTGAGCTGCCATATTTCTGGGCACTCGACGGTCAATCAGTTTTGGTAATAAACACTAAAAATAAAAAGAGTTACGTTTTGGCTGCATTTTTTCTGTCCAAAAGTGGTCATCGTACTTAATTTTTTCATACGCCAAAACATGTAGCGTCCATACTACAAAAACAAAATTGCCTACCAGTGATATGCAATTTTCCCTGGACCTGATAATAGTAATCATGATATCTTTTTAAAATCCTCTGTCCTTTTCGTATCAAACAAAATTTGATCTTTTTTCAGTTATGGCCTCCACAGGTGGCATATTAGAAGCAGAAATAGGACATTTGACTTCAATTAGAGAGTCATCTCCGATAAGTCCATCGGGACTTGCCCCTAAATAATAATCATCTTAATCAATAAACAGTCCACACACCGAAACTTTTAGATTGGTAGTTGTATAAAATTCTCAATTCGTACAACCTCCGATTCGTGTTGGTTTCCATATTCGGTTGCCGTATTTCCTCTGAAATGAGTATATTCTTTTAGTGTAGACAAACACGAATTATTTGGGCACAGTTTGCGATTTTTTCAAATTTATATGCAGTTAGCCTTTTCCTCGGTTCAGTGTGCCACAAATTATTGTCTCTTTGACCTCTAGTAGCCAATTCTAATTCTTTTATTTCGTCCTCGTTTTTTTGCAAAGAAGCCAAAAACTCTTCTTTCTTTTCTTAAAAACGTGATTGGCACTGATTTTTATGTCATTTTTGATGTTTTTAATTTTTTCCACGTCAGTGATGTCTTCGTTCTTCCAATGTTTCACGGCGCCAACAGCACACAGCCCACCTGATGGAAAGTGGTTGCTGTGGCCCATAGACATCTACATCTATCCTCGATTACGAATCAAAATGCAGATGCGTTGACAACGCAGTCCGTGAGGACTTAGGTGGAATGCCTCGTTTCCAGTAAAAAGGGCCCCTGGTTCTCTACACTCACCATACGAAACACAGCAGCATTAAGCTACTATTTGACGAATTTGACTACTATTGAAGCTACGATTGAAACATTGCTCACAACTCTTTTTTTTTTTGTAAGTACTGGTAAGTAACCTTATTGGTTGTTAGTTTTCTTCCTCAACTGCTTCAATTTGGAACAAAAATTTTTGAAAAGGTGATTTTTGCAATCTACTTTTTTAACCATGAGGTTAGAATCGTAGAGCATATTTTTAACTCTTATCATTCTATTTATTTTTCAGCGACTCTGAGCTTAACAAGGAATTGCGGAACAGTAATATGCAGTGACGATGTACTCCTTATATTCGTCGAATGAATATTAGAGGTCTAACAGCGCTACATCGATGGAAGAAGGCATAATAGTGGAGGGTTTCCAAAGAAACGTTGAAAAACATGGCGTTAAATATCACATGCTGATTGGCGATGGCGACTCTGGTATCATTAATGGACTATTAATTACTATGCCATACGGTTCTAACCTCATGGTTATAAAAGTAGAATGCAAAAATCACCTTTTCAAAAATTTTTGTTCCAAATTGAAGCAGTTGGTGAAGAAAACTAACAACCAATAAGGTTACTTACCAGTGCCTACAAGAAAAAGAGTTGTGAGCAATGTTTTGCGTCGCTTTTACGTGATAGAGCCATGCTGCAGTTATATTAGTAGTATAGTTGTAGCACGAATGGGTTGGCTCGACCGGGGAAGGACCACGCTCTCACAGAATACCAGCCTAATATAGTAGCTTAATACTGCTATGTTTTGTATGGTGAGTGTAGAGAACCGGAGGACCTTTTTATTGGAAAAGAGACATTCCATCTTAGTTCTCACGGGTGACAACGCATCTGCATTTTGATTCGTAATCGAGGATAGATGTAGATGTCTATGGGCCACAGCATCCATTTACCATCAGGTGGGCTGTGTGCTCGTTTGTCATCCTATTCTATAAAAAAGCAAAACATTGGAAGAACGAAGACATCACTGACGTGGAAAAAATTAAATACATCAAAAATTACATAAAAATCAGTGCCAATCACGTTTTTAAGAAAAGAAAGAAGAGTTTTTGGC